CTTAGGCCTAGCTCTAAGCTGTGGATACGCAGATGTGACACACCACTGCCCAGCTATAAGACTGGCCACTGGGTGGCACATACATAGGGCAGATCCCAACAAACTGCTCAAGACCTGAAAACTGAACTTCAGCTTATAGAAAGCAGGTTGAAACATGTGACCTGAATTCAGTCAAATCAACTGCCTGCCTAAATTGAAACATCAACATTCTTCACAGGATTACAACAAAAGCCAGAATCTCAAAATATAATATTCAAAATGACTAAAATACAATCCAAAATTACAAGATAGCGAAGAACCATATAAGTCTAGACATGGGAAAAGAAATGAACCGATGCCTATATCAATAAGCATGGATATTGGAATTATTCCACAACAAACAATCGTAAATGCTCTTGAGACCAATGGAAAAATAGAAATTCTCTGCAAAAAATAGAATGTGTAAAGAAAAATTAAAAATTTTAACTGAAAACACAATAACAAAAAGAAAAAACTAACTACTGGATGGATTCGGTAACAAAATGGCGGTAAGAGAGAACTCAGTGAACTTGAAAATAAATCAACAGAAATTATTCAATTTGAATGTCCCAGAGAAAAGGGCTTACAAAATATTAACAGAGCTCCAGGTATCTATGGGAAGGCAAGAAGACTAATATTTGCGTCAGTAGAGTGTGACCAGGAAAGAAGAGTGACATGTTAAAAATTATTTGAGTAAGCAATAGTTAAACTCCCTAAATGTGACAAAAGACTTTTAAACCTACACATTAATGAACCTTGCTAAACTTCAGACCTAAAGAAATCCATACCCAGACACATTATGATTAAATTACTAATAAGTAAGGCAAAGAAAAATATTGAATTTGGTCAGGAAAAAAAATTATTACTTACAGGGGAAAATAATATAAATAAGTGCAGATTTCTCATTAGAAACCATAGCGGCCAGAACCAACATTTTTAAAGTGAAGAAAGAAAAGATGTATCAACCTGGAATCTCAAACTCATTAAAAATACCTTTCAGGAATGGTAAAATGAAGACATTTTCAGGTGAAGATAAACTGGGAAAGCATGTTGCCTACAGAGCTGCTCTAAAACATTTCCGAATGCAAGTTCTCCAGACTGAAGGGACAGGACACCAGAAGGAACTCAGAGTCTCAGAAATGAAGGAGAGGGAACTGGCAGTTAGCGTGGTGGCTATGTCGCTGGACTCCCACGTAGTCGACCACGGTTCGTGTCCCGGACCCGGTGGCTTAAAACTCACGCCGGGCACGTGTGCGTGCGAGCCCAAGATCCCGAGAGGAGAATGGAGGAGAAGGGATTGCAGTGTGACCAACCCCCCTGGGGGGTGATTTCTTGCTTTCTGTCTCTCTGTCTCTCTCTGTCTGTCTGGCGAGCACATGCGCCCTATAGCGAAAAACCTCTCAAAAAAAAAAAAAAAAAAAAGAAAGAAAGAAATGAGAACAGAACTGGTAAATATCTGAGCAGACTATTCTCTAATTGAGTTCTCCAAAATATGTCTGATGGCTGAAAGCAACTGTATGTGTGTGAGCTTCTCACTGCCTGATGGACTTCCAATATATGTAGACAGAACTCATAAAACAACTATTACATAAAGAGGGAGGGGTAAAAGAACCAGATGAGGTAAGATACCTACATTCCGTTTGAAGTGGTAAAATACTAGACTATGAAAACATATGTACATATAAGAATCTCCAGAGAACCCACGGAAAAAACTACAAAGAGATATATTAAAATACACAAATCGGGGGCCAGCAGGCAGCACAATGAGGAAGGTGTTGGACTCCCATACAGCCAACCTTGGTTTGAGTACCAAATCTGGCAGCTTGCTTACTTTCTCTCTCTCTCACTCTCTCTCTCACTCTCTCTTTCTCTCTAGTGAGCACACATACCCTATAGGAAATTAATAAGCAAAAAATAAAATAAATAATTATTTTTTAAAATACACAAATAGAATGAAATAATGAAAAAAGATTAGTTTCCTCCTGCTATGTATATGCCAAAGTGGCATAAATCTAAGAAAAACTTCTAATTGCCTAAATGTCTATATGATTAAGAAGATAAATGATATAAAATATGTAGGTAAGTATTTTTATTTTATGTAATTAAACACTTTATATTTTATAACTAAATATAAACATTTGTTTTATCGTATCACATGAACCTTATTTATTTTTTTGAGCGGTTTTTGCTATAGGACGCATGCACTCACCAGAAAGACAGAAAGAGACAGGGAAGTAAAAAGCGAGAAATCACCCCCCAGGGGGGGATGGCCACACTACAATCCCTTTTCCTCCGTTCTCCTCTTGGGATCTTGGGCATGCACGCACACGCGCCCAGCGTGAGTTTAAGCCACCGGGTCCGGGACGCGAACCACAGTCGACTACATGGGAGTCCAGTGACATAGCCATTACGCTAACTGCTGGTTCCCATGAAGCTTAATTTTTTAAGAGATTTTTGCTATAAGGCATATGCTCTCATCAGAGAGACAGAAAGTGACAGAGAAAGTGAGAAATCACCCCATGGGGGATGGCCATGCCACAATCCCTTCTCCTCCCTTCCCCTCTTTGGACACACACATACACACACACACACAAAAACACACATGCCTGAAATGACTTTCAAGCCACCAGGTCTAGGACTCAAACCATGGTTGGCCATGTGGGAATCTAGCACCTTAACCATTTATGCCACCTGCTGACCCCAGCATTTTTGTTTTATAAGGAAGATACTTAGAAACAGGATTAGTAGCATCATTTTCATACAATATAGGTGCTGCATTCCAAACTATTTCATGGGCCTAGGAAATCTTGAATATTTGGACATGACCTGCACTGAAGGTTCCAGAGTTTAAGTTTTATTCTTTAATGTAATAAATTAACAATCAGGAGTGATGACACAGTTTTGAGTCCAAACTAGTCAAGGCTGTCAGTGAGTCAGCTCCAAAGATTAAGTCACCAATGAACTCCTTTATACCGAAATTGCTGATCATGAATAACTAATTAACCAAGAAAGGCTTTTATATGGCCACAAAGAAAGAAAGAAGGAAAGATGAAAAATGAAGAAGAGAATGTAAACTAGTGATTGTGAAATGGGAAGAAACTCGAGAGACACAAAATCTTGCATGTTGATATACAAAGACAATAGTAATTATGAAAAAATAGCTGAAACTACCAATACTATTAAATATGCCTTAAAATTACTTAGCAATGACTTCACAGGCACTTGAAAGTTTGGTCTTTCCTCAAGAACATACCTGAGCCAAAATCTTTCACAGCAAGAAAGAAGAAAAAGACGTCAACTTGGGTACCTATACTCCAGTTCCCTTTAAGACTTTTCCTCCAACTATTCATTTATGCTTGTCACTTGTCAATCACGCCTTAAAAACATCTCATCTTTTTGTTGTTGTTAAGTTAAAAAAAGTAAAAGTGGCAGCACAGGCCTGGCCACTTGTGGTGCTGTTGTGTCAAAACACAGCAAGACTAGAAGCCATATGGAAGACGAGGATACAGTTCCTGGGTTGACTCACACACACTGGGTGCATGTGTTCAAGTCCCTGACCCCTGAAAGGCGGATGGGCCACTTGTGAAGTGAGACTCTAATCGAGGATGCTAATCTTCTCTCTCTTAAAAATATACTTATTTAAAAAAAGGGAAAAAAAAGTTAGCAACACACAAAGGCTAATATATATGAAGCTATTTATAAATAATCATCTACTATTACTAGATGAAACGTTATGGCACCCAAATATATATTTTTTTGAATTGGTTTTTTCTATAGAGCATGTGCACTTGCCAGAAAGACAGAGGGAGATAGAGAGATAGAAAGCGATAAATCACCCCCCAGGGGGGATGGCCATGCCACAATCTCTTGTCCTCATTTTCCTTTCAGGATCTTGGGCACACACGCACACATGCATGGAGTGAGTTTAAGCCACCGGGTCCAGGACTCGAACCGCAGTCAACTACATGGGAGTCCAGTGACGTAGCTATTACGCCAACTGCTGGTTCCCTAAGGACACATTTTAGTTTTAGTCCTTTGAAAAGTTAGACTGGTATACCAATTAGTTCTATACCATTTTAAAAAGATCTCTTCAAGGGACCAGCAGATGACATAATAGTTATGCCACTGGACTCCCATGTAATTGACCGTGGTTCAAGTCCCAGACTCATGCTGGGCACATGTGCATGAGTGCTCAAAACCCCTAGAGGAGAATGGAGGGGAAGGAACTGTGGTGTGGCCATCCCTCCTGGGTAGGGGTTATTTCTCGTCTTCTGTTTCTCTGTCTGTCCAGTGAGCAAACACACCCTATAACAAATATCTCTCTTAATTAAAAAAAAAATATATATATATATACCTCAACTGTAAACTTTTAGAGTAAGGTCCAGCACCTTTCCCTTGTCAGCTAACTTCACAGCATTGTGACACCATGGTTTCAGGGAATCTCCCGAGTAGCCTACAAACTGTGACACTGAGGTTGCACGAAATTGGCATTTGACTTTTTCTTCAGTTCCACATTCATCATATAACAGCTATGAAACATCTTGTATAGAAAAGGAAGCATTTGGAGGAATAAGCAGGATATGTTTAAATAATACTCTTGGGGCCAGCAAGTGGCATAGTAGTTAAGGCGCTGGACATCCACTTGGTTGACAGTGGTTTGAATCCCTGACCCGGCAGCTTGAAACTCACTCTGTGCATGTGGGCATGTGTGTCCAAAATCCCAAGGGGAGAATGGAAGAGAAGGAAATGCAGCTATGGCCTTCCCCCGGGGTGTGATTTCTCACTTTCTCTCTCTCTGTCTCTCTGTCTCTCCAGCGAGCACACATATACTACTGGAAAAAAAAAAAAAAAAAAAAAAACCTCTCCAGTCATAATAATATCAAATTTTACACTTTCATTTTTATATTCAAACGATATTAAGTACATTGTCATGTTAAAGTAAAAACACTTTAGCTCTAAAAATATTGTCGAAACAAATGACATAGTGAGAAATAAGACCAACATTTATTTTTACAAAATACAGTCTATGATTTCAGAAACAAAATGCTACATATAATCATACTTATAGATCTCCAAAATTATCATTTCTAGCATTTACATTTTTAAAAGTCATCTCTGGTGCATTTCAAATGTTGTATTTTTACAGAGTTTAAATGTCGATATTGAATCTTTGTTCCTTCTTAAAACTAAAAGGTGCATGAGAATACATCTAAAATAAGATTCCTGAAGTCAAAGAACCGTGTTCAGATAACCTCTGTCTTAACTCCTAGAAAGAAATAACTTCCTTAAAAGTAGACTTCCTGTCTGTTGAGTGGGTTCCAATTAGAGAGGTTCACGATTTGAGCTTCATTTGCATTTTTTTCTGATTTGGGATTCCTCTGGGTTATTCTGACATCATCATTACATGGTATCATATCATCTGCCCAAACAAGCTGTTCATTGTACGTTGCTGTCGAGGTTTTTACTGAAATCTAACCTAAAGGAAGAAATTATGTTTCATGCTTCAGTTTCTCTGAAGCCTCAGTGACAATTTCAATCATAACAATTGCCAGGTTTGTCTCTTTCACTCTGGATTCCTAATTATATGGGCTGATGAGGGTAATTCAAAAGTGTTTCAGAACCACCTACTGCCAAGACTCTGGAAAATGTCTTTTGCAAAATGGAATGTTAATGCTCAGAGGACTTTATTATACCTGGATCACATGCTCTGTGTGCATTTGTGGGGTGAGTCTAAAGGCTGTGTCCCTCGTAAAGAATGTGGCTGTTCTGTTCCATAGCAAATAAGGAAACCCCATTCTTTGCTATTTTTGTTATATATATTTATATGTTAATTTCTAAATATAGCCAACAGAAACTTGGAGGAGAAGCTTGATGAAAACTTAAATGTTATGGTCATTTTAGTTCAGCGCTTATAACAGTATTCCTGACTGGGAATGTCTGCTTCTGAATAAAGAAATGTTTCCTGAGAATTTCTTAAAACAATGTTTTAATAAGTGTTTTCACTTTCAAATATCTCTTTCTTTTAAACTCATGTGTTGTATAGAGCTATTAAGTCAGATAAATTATTGGTCTGTTTCATACAATAGTAAATATTGATACAACGATTATGCTTAAGACTTCAAAAACTTCTGCTCTTCCCCTTATCTACAAAGACATAGGCAGGTAGCCTGAATTTTGTGTTTTTTATTTTTGTCTAAATTAGTAATAACCACAACAATCACCATTGGCAAGTGTATGTACACATGCACACATACAAACACACACACAGATACAGACACACACACACACTGGATGACCATAAAATAAAAAAGACCTGATGGAAAACTATGTTAATAAACTTCATTACAGAGCTGGCGAAGAGTCATGACCCTTCTTCTCTATTTTTATAAGGCAGAGCAGAAATATTTTGCAAGGCTATTGGGTTCTTTTTTTTTCCACCAGTACCATTTCTTGGTAATAAGTATTTGTGTTTGTTTCTTTACTTTTTTGCATATGCATCTATAGACTCTAAATGTAGGCAAATAAGAACTACGAGACCAGTTAAGTTACTTTTAGCTACTTTAGTGAGGCTGATCAGGTGAGAGAAATCTGGGATTCCTATTAGGAGCCCTTCAGAATGGTTTAATTCCTTGACAGCTACCATTAGCTGTCGGCTACGCCATGGATATTGTCCATGTGCACTTTGAGGTAGTCATTCCTTGTAAACTTCTTATGGCAAAACTGGCATTCTGCCAGTGGACGATTGGGATTATGGGTCATCTTGTGTCGGATCAGCATTTTCTTCAGGCTAAAAGCCAAGTCGCAAACCTAGAAAAGACCCAAAGACACCAATCATATTATACTGAAAAACCTAAAAGGTGATATCAACTTAGTATTTCAACAACGTATATCAGCAAATTCCTATTACCAAGTGTGTACTCAGAGGCATAAGCACAAAAACTGCTGTGGGAATAAGTGGAATTTGATATCCGAACTAATGGGCAAAAAAAAAAGAAAAAAAAATTAGTTACAGTTCCCAAGAGTGACCTGCATTTAATGTGTGTCCTCTGCATCCCAATCACCCCCTATTCCTCCCAGCTGCTGGATTTAAACATCTCCAGAGAACAACTTCCTGGAAACAATGCCCTTCTTACCATAATGGAGTGCATTTACAATTTCGTATGGAACCTCTTAAGTAAAACACCGATGGCATCTCTGTGCTGGGCATAAATAGCAGAAGACATTTCTTAACAGTTATCCTTTCCATTTATTGAGTCATCGAAAAAGTCATGACATATTTTTCTATGGTTTTCTATGCAAAAATGCATCACGACTTTTCCGACAATCCAATAGTTCCACTTGTTACGTGAAGGGTTAACATTTCTTTAAGCATCCTAAGTGGAAATTTATTAATCACTATTACACTTCTTATTCTTTTTTATTATACAGGCTTTGTTTAACAAAGGAATGTAACAAATTTACCTCACATAAACTCTACTATATCATTACCAGGCTCAACATACATGAACAGCTCAATAATTAAAAAGATTAAATTCACGCAGAAAACGGAAGACATAAGTATTCAAGTTATAAAACAAAATGAAATGGAATTCAAAGTATGATGTTCTTTACAAACAGTCCATTGACATGAAACTCTTCAAAAGCACATCCACTGTGAAATAAGACACATTTAAATAACACAGAAACACCATAAAAACAAAATGAATATAATGAGAGAGGAAATGGCTTGTAAAATACCATAAAGAAAGCAGGAGCTCTGGGGACCAGCAGTTAGCGTAATGGCTATGTCACTGGACTCCCATGTAGTCGACCACGGTTCACATCCTGGACCTGGTGGCTTAAAACTCATGCCAGGTGCGTGTGCGTGCGTGCCCAAGATCCCAAGAGGAGAACGGAGGAAAAGGGATTGTAGCATGCCCATCCTCCCTGGGGGGAGGTGATTTCTCACTTTCTGTCTCTCTTGCTGGCGAGGGCACACACCCTATAGCAAAAACCTCTCCAAAAAGAAAAAAAGAAAAAGCAGGAGCTCTGAATGAGCTAAGACTTGTGAAAACACTGAAGTAAAGAAAAAATTTGCTTTCTCCTTGTGGAGAAAGGAAGATTTACATTCATGGCAACAAGACACTCATTAGGGTGTATGTAGGCCCCTAATTTGGTAAGAAGGTGGAGTAACCCCATAATGATGCATTTTCATGGGCACAGGAGTAGCAGCAGAGTGTGGTACAAAGAAAAGAAACTTTAGAGTCAGACTACTTTCCCAGGAAGCCTGCTCTGGCCTCCAGATTTGAAACTGAAACCTGCTGTCCTCTCTGGATCCCCTAGACTCTGATCACATTTTTTTTTTTTTTTAAAGTATTTGTCTCCTTCAGCTCCACTGTAATTACATTACCTACTCTATTGTTTATTGTGTGTCTCCACTCGCTAAAGCCCCTCCTCCTTTTTGAGAGGGAAGATCTGAAGATTTCTGCTCATTTTGCTCATAAACCCTAAGGGTAAAAGTAATGACTACAGAGTAGCCTCTCAATTCATGAGCTTGTTGGAGAGCCAACCCGGGTTTGATTTCCAACTCTATCACTTACTAAGGAAATTTAAATAGACAAGGCTTTCTTATACCTTCCAATTTTTCAGTTTTTGCCATAGAGTGCAGACATTCGATATATATTAAGTGGGGATATACAATGCCTCTCTTTCATTTTTGGCCCACTTCACTTAGCAATAAATCTTCCAAATTTGTCCACTTTCTATCAAATGTCAACGTCTCATTTTTCATGGCTGACTAATATTCCATAGTGTACATGTGCCACATGTCTTTAACCCATTCATTTGCTCATGGACATTTGAGTTGGTTCCATGGAAGAAACAAAAGCATGGAGAACAATTGCAGATACTACAGACAGTGTGGGAGGAGGGTGAGAAATGGAGGAGGGTAAAAGGAAGGGACTCAAGGGGGAAAAAGAAAGAAGTAAAACACTTAAGGGACACAAAAATGGAAAATTATCAATTGATGATAACGTATATGAAAGTATCTTTAACTGGAGTACTCATGCTGGAAAATTCACTGTGCAAGCTGTAATAATATACAGTGATTGAATGTATAAAAAGTAATAACATAATAATAAATAAAAAGATAAGGCATCTCTTTTAACTTCAGTTCCCTCACATGAAAAGTGACAATATTGGTAGTTACTTCACAGGATTATGAAGATTAAATAAAATACTCATATGAATAGGCTTTTCTTAAAGAATTATTTTATTTAACTTTATTTATTTATTTAAATTAGATGTAAGAGTGAAAGAGGAAGATATATATAGAGAGAAGGAAAGTGAGAAAGCAAGCCACCACATCAGGGACTTGAACCACAGTTAGCCATGTGGGAGTCCAGCACCCCTAAGCACCATACCACCTTCTAACCTCGCTAATAGGTTTATATTACAGACGTTTAATAAATGTTTGTACCTATTTTTTCTCTTTTTATCCTTCCTAGCAACAAATATCATCAGTAAGTAAGGATGAAGAGTCTAACGTTAAAAGGAGGAAGCCAAAAGCCACCACAGGTGGGATTCAGAAGAGAAAATAGCAAAGAGTGGCAATACACAAGTGGTTTTGTGAGCAAATATAGGCTAATTTTCCATAGTAGACACAATGCATCTGGCCAACTTTAGGAAATGACTTTTTTTTTTTAATGACTCAAAAGCATAAGCTGCATGATCACAATTAAAAATAGAGTATACACCTTCAAAAACAGAATGCATGTAGTGAAAACCAAGGGGAAACAGAAAAGACACAAGAAACACACACAAAAAAAAACACAAAGTATGATGAAAGAGTGCAAAATAAATAAAATTGTGTAATTGTTCTAAAGGTACCGAGTTACCCTTATTGAAAGATAAGACTGCAATTAAGGTAAAAAGCAAAATGCAAACATATGCTGTACAGAAGAAATGCATTTATATTAAAAAATGCACATGAACACAACTTAAAAAGGAAAGTTAGAATTGCATAAAAGCATACAAAACAATGCTGATAGAGTGACTGATATTTAGTAGCACTTCCTCTAAAACACCTTGCATAGACCAAGAGAGAGCAAGTCTTCAAAAAACCATAATGTATGTCTCCTCTTCAAAGATTGAAATACAGGATGGAAACCATTCTACTGGGTTCTTACTTCAAATCTAGCAGTCAGTCTTGACCCAATGCCCCCCCCATCCTCATCTCATCTAATCAATTACGACCTTCTACTGTTTTCTCCTTTTACACAGTTCTTTTTTTTAGAATTATTTTATTTAACTTTATTTATTATTAATATCATTATTATTTTTCAGTTTGATCAGAGAGAGACAGAGAGAGAGAGAGAGGAAATGAGAAAGTAGGCCACCAGGTCCGAGACTTGAACCGTGGTTGGCCATGTGCGAGTCCAGCGCCTTTAACTACCATGCCACTTGCCAGCCCCTCCTTTTACACGATTCTTGAAGGCCTAGAGATACCCAATTATCTGTATCCCCTCTAAAGTGAAAGTCATGGATGCCTAGACCAGTGCTTCTCTCTCAATACACAAATATTTCAGCATGCACGTGCACCTGTGTTACCCGTATTTTTAAATAAAACATATATTCATATTACTGTATCTATATAGCATATTAAAGATATGTACGTGAAGTTTGAAAATATAATAAAGATAAAATAAATAATATATTAACATTAATTTAATAATTATGTCTTCATATTTTCATTAGGCAATATCTTAAGATATGATATATACAAGGGGACTTCAAATGTTTATGAAAAAATGGAGTTAAAGTTTGAGTTTACTTAGGTGCAAACAATTTTGAAATCCAGGTGTAATTTTTTCATGATAGATCAATACATTTTCCATGCACCTTGTGAAGACCTTCCTCATATTTAGCATCAGAGTCCTCTTTAACAAATATATAAGCAAATACGTATTTCCAATGTTTAGGATTGTGTTTTATTGTCCTGACCAGTGGGGTTACTATTTGCCTGAACTATAAGGGGCAGGGATGCAAATGCAACACTCACAAGGCTTAAAGGGCCCAGTTGATCAGATCAATGCTATCTGAATGCCCCTGTATTCATCCACATCCCATCCAGTTCATGCTCCACAGAACAGGTGGGAAGATTCTTTTTTTTTAAATAGCAATACCATATTCTTTGTATGTGAATTTTTAAGAGAGATTTTTGCTATATGGTACATGCACTTACCAGCAAGACAAAGAGAGACACAGAGACAGAAAGTGAGAAATCACGCCCAAGGAGAGGTGGCCACACCACAATCCCTTCTCTTCCATTCTGTTGGTATTGTGGACACTTATACACATGTGCCTGATGTGAATTTTTTAAGCTACTGGGTCCGGGACTTGAACCATCCACAGTCAACTATGTGGGAGTCCAGGGATATAACCATTATGCCATCTGCTGGTCCCTCAATGTCATATTATTACCTAAAATTCTTCCATGGCTCCTTCCTGCTTTTAGAGGAATCACTGAGTTCTAGTCAATTTCAATAGCCTTCCTGCAGGCTCTTGAAGATACTACAGCTTCCTGCCTCATCACTTTCTCACCCCTCTCTCTGTCTCTCTCTCTTTTTAATTTATCATATGGTGCGTATGCTTACCAGAGACACAGAGAGGGAGTGGGAAAATGAGAAAGCACCTCCTGTGGGAGATGTTCACACCACTGTCCCCTCTCCATTTCTCCCTCCTTTCAAGATTTGGGGCATGGCATGCTCACACATGTACTCAGTGTTTCTCAAGCCTCTGGGTCCAGGACTTGAACTGCTCTATTGGCC